CTTGGAGCAGGCAGCTCTGTTAAAGGACAGAAAGTATAGAGCAATGTACAAATGCAGCCCTTCTGTACTGACAATAAAAGTTTCCTTTCTAAATCCAATTCCATGATCACCAACCAGCAGCTTGAATTTGGAGGAATGTTTTAATTTCTAATTCTTCAGGAACCATTTTCTTGTATTTTCTGCCAACACAAGCAGAAACCACTTCCAGTGCTAATTCTGTGCTAGTCTTGCTCATTTAGAGACAAGCCAAGCTCAAAAGCAGCATGCAGCTGCAGTGATAAAACAAAACTGCAGCCTCTGCTCCGATCGTGGTAGAGCAAATAGGAATCTATTTTTCAAAAAAAAATTTCTCCACACAAAAATTTTAAGGACTTCATATTGGCCAAAGTGAAATTGTCCAGCGTTCAGGTGCGTCCTGCCTCTTTCCAAAGGACAACTTATGCCTACAACAGCCAAACCCATCTGTTGTTACTCCACCTGTGCTGTATGAGCAAGATAAAGTGAACCCCTGTCAAGCTACCCCACCACTTCAGGCCCAGTGGCACCCAGGGAGGTACAGTGCCTCTACAGCTGGGGCACGCTCAGAGCTTGCAAAAGAGCAAGAGCACAGTGATATAATGCAGGCTACACTCTTGACTCTCTTCTGACAGTCCCTGAGGACACTGAGAAATGAAAAGGTCTTTGTGTCTGTACCACCTCCACTTTATGAAGTACAATAGTACATGACACGTTACTCCCACTTTCACTTCTCACAGCAGAGCCTAATTTTTTATGCTTCTTTTTGCTACAAACCACTGTAGTATTCTCTATTAAAACAGCATTCAGACTTTGTGACTTATCAGCCTGCAGTTCAGAAGGGCCCAGCCTGCAAGTCTTGGGCTATTATTCTGTCCAAATGTGCAACATGATGCCTCCAAATCTGTGAATTTCTTCTGCTACAGAACAAGCAATGTGACAAATGGTTCTGAATGCCAACACATTACAGAGAAGGGTGTGCTAACTAAAACTGGGATAATTAAAGCAGAACCTCTCTTTATCACCTTTCCTACCTGCTCTAGTGGGCTTTGCATGCTTGAGTGCATGAATACTGAATATTATAATTTTGTAGAAAAAGCAAAATCTACACAAAACAGAAGCAGACCTGTCACTGGTATAAAAGCCAAAATCAGCAGTATAGTGATGTATTCTCTCATGTTCTCATAAGAAAGTTTCCAACATATATGCTCACTTTTCTAGTCACTCAGCAAAGTTAGTCTCAGTATCCTCTGGGCCAAGCAAGAAAAAATACACCTTTCACAGCAAATGTATTGCTGCAGCAAAACTTCTCAAAACACACTGCTTAATTTGAAGGATCAAATTAATTGTGAAAGAAAAAGAAATGGACTAACATCAAACTGCTGTTTAAGGAATCATTTCAGGCTGTTGATTATATTCTGAGGAATATTGTTATTTATTACTAATGACAAATAGTACATTCCCATCAGGATCTCTATTATATGTGTGTTATTTGCCTTTCTCTGGAGGATGAAGATCTGGCTGCATATAATTAGTCTTGAGAATTAGCTATTATTAACAACTGAATTAACACAGTCAATCCTTCTAAAGGAGTTTCTCACTAAGTACATTTGTTTGCCAAAGTCAAACTAGAGATGTCTATATAAACACTCTTGTGACGTTCCCAGTAAAATCAGTGCACCCAGAGAATTTAATGAATGCTACTGCTAATAATTAGTAACAGTGCAGGCAGAACATAATACCTCAGATTTAACCACTAAGAGTTCTAATACCAGCAGCCCAGTCATAGTGTATTGATCACAAACTATGGAGAGAGGTGCTTTCTTCATAATTATCTGTCTCCAGCAACTAAGGCAGGAAAACTGCTAATATTCAGAAATAACTAAAAGAGGCAATCAATAAGATATTATTTATTACATCACCAGTGCTGATAGACTGTTATAATTCATAAAAAGTTGTGAGGTTTATTGATTTTCTAAGATACTGACTTAAAATTGAGCTATATTTTCAAATCACCGAGTTTACAAGATACTATAGTCATTATACCAAAGTGGGTTTTTTAGATAACTTAAGAAGATGCAACAATGTCAATACATACTGAAGGCACAAATATATCTGGGTCCAGAACATAAAGCTGCATATGCTACTATATCAGTTCCTATGCAGAAAGGGGACTTATTGTTATGCAGTAAGTAATGTATTTGTTTACAAGCCTATTCAATATATTCCTCTGAAAGTTCATAAAAGCATGATAAGCAACGGCCTAAAACTGAAATACTCAAGTTTTCCAAGTGCAATAAAACTATACCTATCGATTCTCACAAAGGCTCTTTACAATTGTAACAATAATTTGGCAAAGCAGAGAATGCTTTCTCGAAAGAAAAAGCTGACATTTTTAATCTCAGTGTAGCTCAACAGCTTGTTATTTCCAATAACAGTAAATCAGCATCTTGTCTACTCTTCCCAAAAGGAACACTTTATTCACTATAAGGTTACATTGTCCATTTAAATCTGTAGGGCAACAGAAACAGAAAAATATATATATTATTTTTAATGACAAAATAACTCTGGAAGTCATGCAAAATGTGTATTTCTTCATCTATATAAAATCCTTTTCTTTCAAACAGTACTGCAGGGTAGGAAAGAAAAGTTAATTATCACATAACTGTATGACAAGAATTTATTAGAAGCATTACTGCTGTATTTCAACACTGTAGGCAATTTCCCTGACAGGAAAATCTCCTTCCCAAGAATTAGTTATAAATGCATATCCACTTTTGATGTGCATGTAGATTTGACCAAGTAGAGCAGCCTCCTTTCTTCTTTTGCAGGGTGTGTTGTGTTCCTCTTTGGAGGTCATTGGTGTAGGAATAATGCTGGAGGAGCAAGAACTCCAAACAGATGATCAGATTTCCCATCTGCCATCCTGGTCTCATGCTGTGACCTAAGGAAGGTCCATTTCAGGTCAAGGGTGGAAAGTTTAGAGGTTTAGGTTTTCTGTGGGTTTCTGTTACCCTTGAGCTTTCTTCCTACAGAATCAGGAAGAGGTGGAGAGAGACATGGCCAGGATGCTCATGAGATTCAGCAAGCTTCTGGGTTTGATCCTTCCATGCTTTTTACTGCTCTCACAGTAGCATCTCAAGGCTCCCAAAATACAAGAAAAAGGAGGAGAGGCACATGGAGGGGATGCCAAAGGAAGTCCTTGTCCTGGTAATCAAGCAAGAAGGGCACATGGTACAAATTCTCTGCAACTCAAGTTCCCTGGTTCTCATGCTGGGCTACCCAAAATGGAGGATTTCATTGACATAGACACTTTATCAGGTACAGCACACCAAAGAATACCAAAAAAAACCCCAAAAAACCCCACTCAACCCAAGACCATCACAGCCAACAGTAAACAGTACAGATCACCTCCAGCTACCCCTTCAAGAGATTTCAAATTGATTTTATTAATTGTTTACTGTAATACTTAGAAATAAATTGATCTGTTAGGTGGCACAAGTGTCTTTATAGATTCTTATGTGGCATAATTTGTCTCATCCAGAACATTTTCCCAATGTCTTTTTTTTTTTTTTCCATATTTGGAAGGGAAAATGAGCTATGTAAAATTTCCAGAGACAAGAAAGACAGGTCTTTTAATACAAAAATCTGCTGTTACGGGAATAAAGATAAAAACCTTTGAGTTCATCAAGTATTATAGATTAACTGAGCCATCCTCAGCCTTTGTGGTCTATCACTCTGTGTGGATAGGGAGAAAAAGATTTTCCAATAACTTTAATGACACTGGACATGTTTGGATCATGATAACTCTACCTACCTATACCGTCTGGACTATGGCATCTTTTCTCCTTCAGTTATTGTACTTCCAAACAAAGGGTTTTATTTATTTTTGTTTTGCTCCCCACAGGTAAATCTATTTTGATAAGGGAGGATAATTTAGATCTGTTACAAAGGTGGAAAAACAAAAACATAAGTAAACGGGGATTTTTTTTCCAGAGATCATATTCAAAAGTCAAACCAAATGAAAACTGAATGGGTTTACGTGTCCATACTTGTATCTCAAACATTGCCACAGGATCTCCAAAAAATATGCTCTTTTCAGCAGGTCCTGAGAGTCTAAAATTTAAGAAACCAGAAAACCAAGCACTTCTGTAGGCTGGTAACTGGAAACAAGCTGGTTAGAGAGATACCAGGCTTTAACATAAGATATCTCAGGGAATCGAGGACAATGAACTTTGAACATTAGCGGTCCCTTTCTGAAAAATCAGTTTCAAAAGGCACTAAAACACGCCCCACAAAAATCAGAATTAAATAATTTAAAAACCCCAGTCTTCCTCACTTACCGCCAAGGCTGGTGTGGGCTCTCATGCCCTTGGCCAAGACCTAATTAAAGAGGCCCCTGTAGAAAAACTGCTGCAGTGTGAAAGGCTGCTCTCCCTAGGGCTGCTTGTTCACACACTGCAGAAAGGTACCAGCAACCACACCAGAACCAGCAGCACAGATGGGCAGAGCCCCCTCTGCCTCCCCCAGGGCAAGGACGGAGCAATTGCCAGAAGCTCTGTGGCATATGATGGAAGAAACGGAATCCTGATAAGTCTTTGAAAGAAAATAGCAAGAAACACAACTTAAGGTATGACAACCAAAGAGAATAATTTTTAATATCAAGGAAAAAAAAAATAGTAATTTCTACGCTGGGTAAGTCAAGCCTTTATTGCTAAACCAGCTAAAATTAAAGTAGGTGGCAAACTGCTATACTCTGTAACCAATGAAAGCATAAAAATCAATTTCACAAATTAATCCTTAGCATTCCAGTTGTAGCAAGCAGAAGATTCAGGAAAGCTTATTTTAATTAAAAACTTTATTTTTCATTACAATTCACAGTTTATACATGGCAAGAAGTACCCTTGCCATGTGGACATTCAGAACACTGTGCTGGGGAGACAAGGGTCTTTGTTATAAGAGCATTGCTCGGTGCTGTGTCATGGAACTTTCTTAGTTTTAAAAGCGTACTCTCTGTAAATGTTAATTGACTGATATTTACACTGAATTTACATATTAACTTATATTTATTAGAAAACAAGCTAAGCATCCAAAAAACATGAACATTCATATATTGCATGTTATCTAATGGTCAGAGATGCTGTAAGATTTGCCACTTGAATCATGCCCAATCATCAAAGTCCCATTCATTTTTAATTTACAGAGCCTAAATTTTTCTTTAAGGCCTGTTCCATTAATTTTATGTACAGCCAGATTACAATAGACTAACATAAGGAAAAAAATGAAAAAATATCCATTCCATCCTGCATTTCTTCTGAATCTCATGTACACCTATAAGCAAAACAGAAGGTACAAAATTAATGTGTTTTCTTAAAACCAATAAAGAAAACCCACAGTCTGGTTTAGATCTGCTTCTTGTAAGCCTATCCTGTCTGAACAATCATCGGTATTCAGATTGTGCTATTTATCAGCTCTTCTTCATGCCTGCATTGATATTCAGAGCCATCTCTATTTGAAATGTAGAAAGTCACAGTGATACCAGTTTCAATTGCATTCCCACATAGCCACAGCTCTGGCACAGGCAGCCCACGTGACATTCAGGAAAGCACTCCACCAGGATTCCCGGGTAAAATATCATGTAGCCTCTGGGGTGACTTGGCTTAGAAAGGAAATTAAGAATCCTTTTCATACCAAATATCTGGCAGAAGGTTTATGCTTATTAAAAATAGCTGTGTTCTTCTGCATTGTTTTTTTGGATGTGATTATTTAGAACACAGCAATTTAAAGCCTCCCCCTGCCTCTCATGAAAACAGTAATTTTTATTTGCTCTTGTCATCTACCAAATAATTTAGTGATAGATAAGCTGCAGATTTTTTGGTACATCTGAGGCAGAGAAAAACAACTGCTGAACACTGCTTGGAAAACTAAGACCTGAAAAGGGCCTGCAAATCCTACAAGTCAGCGTGAACAAGTATCATCTGGACCTGAGTAAAACAAAATGCTTCTGGGGGACAGGTTTGCAACTTTTGAAACTGCAGTGCCTTTAAATTTGGAGCTAAGAACATCAATTGATGATTGTTGAGTTTTGGCATTCATTCATGCTGGTTGGTATCTTCACAACAGACACCTTTAAAACACCACCATTTCAAGAAGAACAAAAGGCTTAAATGAAATACACTTCTCATGCAAAAAACCCAAACAAACAAAAGTTGTACAGGAACTGTAGAGGTTCTGGTTCTTCAAAAGATAAGGCACTGACCAAAATTTCTTAGGTAAAAGGCTGCATAAGAATTTCTTGCCATTTACAAATGTGTTGTAGTCCAGAAATGGTCCATTCCTAGGCTCAGTAAGGTAGACCCTGAAATTTTAAGGACTGATCCCTCAAAGCTACATTGTTACCATAAACAAGTGAGATTCATTCGTGAGGCCATATGGCACATTAGAAGTGAAAAACAGTCTGGGCAGATAAAGGCAGAAAACATTGTTTGTTCCAGCATCTTTCGGAAACAGCAGTGCCATTCGTCTTTGTGTCTCTGAAGAGATGCGATGGTAACTCGGGACTGTAGTTTTTCTGTGGAACTCATGCACACATATAAAATGCTGCTAGCACTGGTCATCAACAGGGTGGAAAAAAATGGTGTATGGCTAGTCTAAGCCGAGAGCTTCTCAAGGGCTGGGATCCAAAGTCATGGCTACTTAATGTTCTCGATCACGGCTATCTCTTCTGCTGCACAGTGCGGCGTCAAACCATTCATGTAAATGCTGTCCGTCTTTGTCAGAGCTGGCAAGAGGTCCTTCTCGCTGGTCAGGTGGTTCACTGACAGTGTTCTCTTGCAGGGGGTCAGGTCTTGGTTGTGGTTGACAGCGAGCTCTGCAGAGAGCTTCCTTTTGATGGAGGTGGCCCGCTGGAACTTGTCGTAGATCTCCACGCTCAGGCGCCTTCGAGTCTCCTTGAACTCGGCGGTGACATTGGCTGTCCACTCTGCAGCGTGGGCTCTGAACTCCCCGACCTGCAGCAAAAGTCAGGAAAAAAAAAAGGAAGCATTATGGCACCGAGGACTTCAGACACTTTATCTTCAGGAGCCTCGTGAGTGCAGGGCTGCCAAAGAGTTGCTGCTGCCACCGGCACAAATTTCTCATGACAAAGAGTTACTCTTTTATTGACAGCAAATAAGAAGTTGCTCTAGTAAGAGTTAACAACACTTCAAAAAACACAAATAAAAATCTTTCCTGCTGATCTTTTTTTTTTTTTTTTATTGTGATCATAGTCAACAACACAGGGACGCTACAGAGGCTTGACAGCTGCACAATACCCAGCTGGTCAGGGGATGCTGAAATCCCAGCAATCCAGGCTGTGTTATGTATTGTTACTAGAGTGAGGGGTTATTTATGAGCATTTTCACTGTCTCTGGAAAGATCCTTGGGAGACTTGGCAAAGAATTTTCTAAATTTAGACAGAAAAGCTTTTTTAAAGGAAACCATCAGTTGTTTGCATCCTCTTTTCTGTACTTGCTCAAACATAGCACCAACACAGCAACAGTTAAAAGTCACCTCAGTGGCATGTCTGCTTCCCACCTGAATCCCAAATCATCCTTACTTTTCCTCAGATATGGCATAAGGTAGACTGAGCAGATCTAGTCTGAAGTAAACTATGATCCGTAATTTATTTACTATTTATAATTTTGCACTTGTATTTCAGTCATTGTTACACTATGTATGTCAGTCACTGTTACATTAAATAAGTTACGTAGGTAACTACAGGAGGCACCTTTTGATGATTTTATCTCATTATTACTCCAAAGGAAATAGGTTGTTTCTCTTTAAATCTCTTCTCCCTCAACAGCTTAATACTGGGAAGGTACAGCACAGGGAGTATAGACTATTCATAACTATAACTCCAAAGTAAAGCATTTCAGGAGGATTTAACCCACATAAATTAGTCTAATTGCGACTGTTCACTCCAGAATTTCAATCACTGGCAAACAAACTCTGACTTGGAAAAAACAGAAATGAAAAAAGAATTTACACAGAGAAATATAGGGGGCAAAACCATCAGAGAAAAAGCCATGAGCTCACTCATGCTTTGCAGTGCAGTAGAGAAGAGGAATATAATGAAGGTAAAAATTAGTCAGCTCATCCAGAAGTGACAGTGTTTCAGGAAAACTTTTCCCCTCCAGAAACTAAACAAAAAGGTCTCTTTACCCAAGGGTCATTTTATTATATCATTCTCCACTTCAGTGAATTACAGAGATGACAAATGTGGACAAATGTATATTTTCTAAAACAAGGGTAATTATCTGCAATACACAGAGGTCTCACCTAGCTGAATGATTATTAGTATTTAATTTGTGCAGCTAGGATCAGACACACTGCACTTCAAGTTTGAAAATAATGAAATCTGCAGTGCTGAAACATCTCAGCTGCTCCAACATTTTCACTTGTAGTAAACAAGTAATAAAAATATGATAAATAGTGCACATCCTGAGGCAGTTTTCTCCTTTTCCTAAGTCTTAGTAAATGCAAGCTGCCCAGGTGCTGGAGAATGGTTCTGCCTAGGGGAGCGAAAAGGCAGTACACAGGTTTCTTTTTTACTGTATATATATATGTACCCCTCACCAGCTGTGTAAGCATTTAATAGACCAGGTATTTTGCTCAGGCACACATCTCTGGCATTGTATTCAAGAGATTCTATCAGGATTTAAAATTATATCTCAGCAACTTATTGGAAGATACAACTACCTTGAACTATCTCCACATAATATTTCACTTTTTTCTGGGGGGAGGTGGGTGTTTTTTTTGGTTGGTTGGTTGGTTGGTTGGTTGGCTGGTTGGTTGGGCTTTTTTGTTTTGTTTTTTAGTTCCCACATGATTTTATGTTTGTCCAGGAGAGAAAATCTACTGGCATTGTTTCTGAAGAAAGCATATCTATGTGACCTTTAGGATAGGCTCAGAACGTTCCTAGTGATGGACCTGTCTTGCACAGGGCAAGCTGCTCTTGAGCATTCAAGTTGTTCAGGGGAGTCTTAAAATTGTAGTTGTTGGGATATCTGATGTCTGAATTCTATGAGATTTCTTTGGGGAAGCAAGTTTATGCAGCCAGCTGAAGAGCATCAATAAACGTGCCTTTGGAGATAGGCTCATTCCAGTTAGGGTGGTGTGGAACACTAACATGGTGGACACAATTCTACCTGCCCATACACCAAAGCTGTGACACTGGGTTGTATTAAAATCATAGGAGAAAAATATAAATTGAAACATGCTAGTATTAATGCTACTGGTAGGTAGAATCAGATGCATTAGTAGTAATACAGAGGGAATTGGAACACATTAAGACCCAGGAGGTCAGTGCTGTTTGAACTATGCAGGCCCCAAATCACTACTTTTGGCCCCTACTTTTCATGCAAACTGAAATGCATTCAAACATGTTACCTCTTTAAAACAAAACTCTTAATTCCATAGCACTTACAGACTCAAGCAGGGTTGTAAGAATAGGGTTATAAGAAAAGTGCCATTTTAACTACCAGTGTACATTAGTAACTTGCTTGTATAATTTGATCTCTCATTGATCCATAGGGACATATCTGTAGTATATCTGGGTTCTTTCTGTCCTTAGGTTATGACATTTTAACACACTGCATTACATCTCCTCTTCATCTGGGTTCTGACAACAAAAAAATGTCTCATGCAGAGCCACTGAAATTCCTATTGCCTGTGCTGCTCAAAAAAATTTAATTCTTGGCATACCTATCTACTGTAACAACAATTTACTTTTCTCCAGATCTCTCGCCTCATTACAGCACAGCGCTGTAAGAATCTACAGCTGTCATAGTTGGGGGCAGTGTGACATGAGGACAAGGTCTCTTAGTCACAGAAATTATTGACAACTACGTACTTAACATAAGGCTGAATGTCACAGAATATTTCAGAAGCAATAGGAAAAACATGTCACAGTGATAGCGCCCGGCTCAGTCATACAAGAAGCGGCACTGGTGCTGCTTCTCACTTTAACCTTCAGGGAAGAGAAATGCCACTGGTAATGGGGACGTGGTCCCTATCACAGCTCCTGAATTGACTTCCTCCACATCAAAATCCAAATTAGTCTGCAAGGTGTTAGACATATTTCACAAGGAGTATCAACCTAGCTACATTGAACATCAACAGCAAGTAACTTTCTTATGTATTTAAGAAGCAGGAAGTAGCACCCTACTGCCTTATGATTTCAGGGAAGACAAGTCTCAATAGCAAGTTCTCAAGAGTTATGATATATGGTAACACAACTAAGTATTCCACACAGAACACTTCCCCACGAAACAAAACAACAAAAACAAAAACCCAAAACAAACAAACAAAAAACCAAACAACAAAAACCCCCAACAACCCCCAAAAAACAACACCCACGACTTTCCCAAAAAATGAACAGCATTGACACAATTCCTTTCCTAGCCCATGTTTCCTGGCCACCAGGTACCATTGCCAGGGTATCCTCTATGATCTGCACCATATCCAACCTTATCCTATGAGGATGTCTCAAATACCACAGGTCATCTCCAGTAACACCTCCAAATGTCTGTGCTAATTTATGTGTCCACCTGTGGTGGAATGTCACATTTACTCTTTTAGGATATAATGAGAAACTGCCTCTGAACCATTTGTGGGGAGCGTTCTATTAATTCTTTTTAAAGCCACTATTGGGTTTTTTGGGGGGGGGTTTGTAGTGAGAAACAAACAGACATCAATAAAGTACCACATGAATTTCCTGAATGACCAAACAGTTCCCAGGCTGCACACATACACAATCACCAATATAACTTTGAGACCAATGTACTGAACATGACAGAACTAGAAAAAAAAACCCAAAAAACAAACATGGACGTTAAGCCATCATTCCTTCACCTACTCCTGCCAAAATCCATCTAAATGAATAATGTCCTAGAACTGGCTCTCAGTCAATATCTCTAGTAGGATCAAATGTTCCTATTCAGTTTCATTGTACTGTGTTTTAGCTTTCTGTCCTGCTGAGCTCCACACTTGGGTAAAGGCCAACAGCATAAGCCAGAATGTATGAATGTCCAAGGGGATGCTACTGTTGAAACTAAAAAAAAAGCATTTGAACACACTGAAGCACCTGCTTCATTCTTCAGTACATTTGTTCTAATTCCTTATACATGTTAAGAGTTTGAGAATCTTTCTGGACACCCACAGAATTATGCAAATACTAATGCCAGTAAAACTTCCCACCATTCAGGACGACCACTCATCCTATTAAGTGTCTGGAAAGCACAAGCCATGTAGCCAATCACAAGTAATCTGTATTTTGAATTAAGCCACATCTGTGCTTTAGCAGAAAAACAAACGAACAGAAGCATAATTAAGGACATCCTTAAATAGACCAAGACAAATGTACTTGCCTATCTTAACTTTGCCTTAGTTTTGCTCCTCTGTCTTGGGGATATTCTTGAAAAACCCCAACATCACAGTATAATCAGTTAATCTACTTCTCCTTACAGAGGGAGAAGAAATATATCCTGCTTGGATGGAGCTCAGATATATGACATGAAAGCTATGATATACTCAGGAGGAGGTAAACCACTGAGTTGCAAATAAAAAAAATAGGGTTATTATATATGTCATGCAAGAAAATGAAAACATATATTTCCAAGTCATGCAGCTTTTTCTGTCATGGCTGAGCATTATGCTCCTTCTCTTTGGCATACAGGGCTCATATAGTTTATGATGAGCATGTTAGTGCAAGCCAAAAAATTGAATTTAAAAAGCAGGAAGATAAGCTGGAGGTATCCATTTGACTACATTTTAGGGTGAAAAAAGTGCCCTTCTTTACAGATATTCTTAACGGTCTAGATGTTCCTCTGTGTATAATTTCTCGCATTTTTCCCTAATGCATTCTCCGAATTTTCATAGCTCCATTTTTGAGTACACTCTCCAGTGTACTTTATCCTGCTACTTAAAAATAACACATCCAATTAACCTCTCTGTGATATGCTACTCAGAC